GGATCCAGCAATTTCACTCCTAGGCTTTTATTTGTAAGAAATTAAAACACATATCCATACAGACTTGTACACAATTGTTCATAGCAGCTTTCTTTGTAATTGTTAAAAGCTGGAAATAATCCAAATGTCTTTCAGCAGGAGAATGTATAAACAAATTTTGGCATATCCATACAATGGCACATCAGTCAGCAATAAAGGGGAATGAAGTATTGATTTACACAACAAGGATGCATCTCAAAATAATTATGCTGAGTCAAAGAAGACAGACATACTGTATGATTCCATTTACATAAAATTCTAGAAAATTTGAACTAATTTTTAGTGACCCGAGGTAGACTGCCTGGAGTGTGGGGGAGGGGTCACCAGGGTGCAGGAGGGAGGAGTGGGTGTGTTCACTCTTGGTGGTGGTGATGGCTTCATGGGTGTATACATATGTCAAACTTTAAATTTGTGCAGTTTATTGTACATAAACTCCACCTTAATAAAATGGATTTTAGAAGAAAAAAGTCAGCTATCATTAACCTTTCTTCTCTTAGGTTATCATCTTTCTTAGCACATTCAGTATGTCTGATTGTACTTGAATTCCTTCCAGATGACTCATTCCGCGCCCGCAATGCCAGTAGCATTCCGACTTCCTTTTCTCCCAGTCCTTCCCTACCGAGCACCTCCCGTGGGACAGGTAACCCAGTTGATCCAAAGAGCAGTGGAAGTAAAGACACGCAACCACGGAAGGCTACCTTGTAAGTAATCCACTGATGTGCCGTGTGGATCGTTCTACTCTTTTCTGAGGCATTCTTCTTCCCACTTAAATTCTTTCCAAAGAAGAGACAATGTCTATAATGAAGAAAAGGTATAAATTAAAAGGAATTATCTTCACCTGTGCCTCTGTTATGTCAGCTACTTTTTTTTTAAAGATTTTATTTATTTATTTGACAGAGACACAGCGAGAGAGGGAACACAAGCAGGGGGAGAGGGAGAGGGAGAAGCAGGCTTCCCGCGGAGCAGGGAGCCCGATGCGGGGCTCGATCCCAGGACCCTGGGATCATGACCTGAGCCGAAGGCAGATGCTTAACGACTGAGCCACCCAGGCGCCTCTAATAAGAAACTTTAAATAGCTCCTATTAAAACCCGAGATCCACTTATTTTCCTGTGAAGTGTTTGCATTCAGGGCATTTATCTCTGAGAACACACGGGATATAATTGTATCCCTTTTAAATACCCAGCTCACGAACAGAGTATGTAGTCACCCAGTGCCTAGAAAGATGGGTACAGCTAAGGCCCCTGAAGAACTATCACTGCAGCCCGTAATCTGGGCTTGTGGGCCCAGTAAACTGGAGGTTTCTATAGACCATACTTGTGCTTTCGCATTGTGGTTATAACAGGCCTCTCTTCTTTTCCCTCATGGTCCCTTTTCATGCACTGTTTATATCCTGTTTGAATTGTTGCAGCCTTTGGTACTTGTGGTTGGAACGTGTAACAGGGTAAACTCTAAAAATCTCCATGGTGAGAGATCATATCAAGGTGGGACTGATCAGCCAGGATGCCCAAACCGTAGTGACAGGTTTATGCTTTCATATAGGACACCGGAACCTTCTGATTAGAATGGAGTTTAAACAGGACTTAAATATATTTCACTGAATTCATGAGTATTTTCTCATGAAGTTTCTCAAATGCATCGGTTTTTTTTGCAGGAACTGCATGCTTTAGTCCCCTTTAGGAACTGAACTATATCATAATTTCTTCTAAATTTTAATTAGCCATTGGTATATATAAATATAGATGTATTCCAAATTCATTTAAAACTTAGAAAAAATTTATTGAATGGAGCTCAAGGAGAGAGCAGGACGATGTAATAGCAAAGGCAATAGCAAATACAAAAGGTAATATTGATATTACAGATTAGTCCCATTAATACTTTTATTTGCAGAGAATGTTCTTTGCCCATACAATGATTGTTCAAATGACTATACCTTGAAGTTCTGTTTCGAAGTCCCGAGGATTGAGGACAGGATGGGGTAAAGGTCTAGAGAGAGCTTGGACCTGGAGCCTCGTGCTCCGGTGCCAACAGCAGGCAGCGAAGCGCTGTGTATAGTCTGTTTGGTGCCTGGGCCTCATTGTGCCCATCTGTGTGATGACAGGGTGGATTCATCCCTCAAGGGGCCTTCCTGTCTGTCACCCCTAGGCCCTCTTCCTCTCAAAAGCTTGCCCTGGAATTCTTCTACCGAAGACCATATTTAATAACATCGGAATGTAGTTCATTCTCTTGTCAACTTATTTTTCTAAATGTCATAGGCATTTTTTAAAGTAAAGAGGCTGAAACCTAATATTTTGACCAGTTCTCCTTTATTTCAGATTACTGTCTTCAACTGTTCTTTCTTTGCTGAGCACGTTTTTCCTTTTTGTAGACTGAATTTTCTCTTGCTCAATATATATCGTTTAGATAACAAAATTATATCCATGGAATTATATAATCAGTTACATATAATTGAGGGTTAAAAAATGAATCTAGAAACACTCTAAAAAATCACATCATTTGTTTCTTCTCTTCTGAATATTGTGAAGGAAGAGGAATGTTGGTATTACAGCTGCTCTTTTTAACAGGAGACTGGATATCGAGTCCATAACCCTATTTCCATCTGATGTAGTTGTAGCCTGGACTTGCTCATGAAAGCACATGGCCGCATGGCTGGAATAGCTGATTGATATCTACATTGGTCTAGTTTCTGTGAAGTATTATGCAAGATTCAGTGACGTGTCATATCCAAATGAAAATCTCTCCGTTTTCTGTAAAATAAGCTTATGAAGTGATTTCAGAAAGTATTATCTCAGTGATGCTTCTCCAAAAAATTCCATGCGACACATTCTCCAGCTTTTCAGGGTCCTAGAGATGAGCCGTCTGGTATTGAGGAGTACCAGTGTCTTAAAGGAGATACAGGAAAGGCATCAAATATTGATGTATTTGGGCCTGTGTTCATTTCTGTTGTCGTTACACACAAAAAAGTGGGAAAAGTTGTATGAATTGAATTGAATGCTATGTTAGATGTACGTAGGATTGGGTAATTAAAGAGTTCCAAGTCATCCTTAATGGATGATTTCTTTTTCACTTAATCAGAATCCTCATACAGTCAGTTTATTTAAAGTAGATTGTATTTCTTATTTACTTTGTAAGCATTGAATGGATAAAATTTTTCATGTTTTTTTTATTTTTCTCTTCTCTCTCTCTTTCCCTCCTTCTCCCTCCTTCCCTCCCTCCCTCCTTTCTTTCTTGACAAAGAAAATCGAGAAAATCCAATCCTTAAATCATCTGCTTGATGAAGGAAGCAAAACAAAGACAACTGGAGATAATGTGATTGATGGACAAAAGCTAAAGCAAATTGCTGGGCTTTTTTTTTCTCTTTCTTTTTTTTTTTTTTTTTGGTTAATGAATGGAAAAGAGACACATAATGGCAGCTGATGTTGATAAACTTTCCATATTTGAAATTAGATTCCCTAGGAGATATACTATATATTTCTTGAGTAATAATGTGGTTACAGAATTCCAATGTCATAGTGAAGTGTGATGAAAAACAACTTTAGCTGTACGCTTTTAGCCCTGCTGCAGAAGAGACCAGTCTGCATTCATCTGTGCAGGAAATCATCTATTTAACTGTTCTAGAGTTTTAGCACTCAAAAATTATATGAAAGTCCAAATCAACTGAAATTGCTTTAGCTAATCACTTGGAAGGGCTTTGGGAGTAAGAAAGACATTGCATCTTCTCACAAATCTCCAAGCCCAATTAAAAAGTCACACTGAAAAGGGTACGAGCAGCTGTCCGCAGTTTTATCAGTCCTATGATGGTGGTGACAGTGTTGTAACTGGACGTTCTGAAATTTCAATTTGGCAATGAAAATTCTACCAAGATTTCTGATAACTTTTAGCTTACAACTACCTTAAAAATAATAGACTGATGATTTCATTTCCTAGAAAAATTTATTTTATAAATACTTTGTTTACATTGTAGATTGTATTTGTCCTTAATTTAAAATGATGAATCTAGTTTGAATCAGCTGTTACTCCAAGCTATCATGCTTAAGCTATGTCAACAGCATTTATTTGTACTGATGCTAATATTTCCATCAAAATTTGCCTGTGGAACATATACAGTTCTTAATTTTAAAATGTCAGTTCTTGAGATATACTGTATGAAGCTATTGTCAGCTTCTCCATTTCAAAATGCAATCAGCATATAACTATATTGATATTAGAAAATATTTGTTTTTTAAAATATATTGATGTATGATAAAGATGATCTAATTTGTGAATGCATATGCGTGTGTGGTTACTTTTTATAATGTGAAATAATGAATAATGAATTTACTCAAAATAAAACATAGGTTAATGAGATACCAGTGTTTGTGAAAAAAGTTTTAAATACTTTCCTGCAGCTTTTATTCTACAGTTAACGAGTAAGACAGTTCATTTTTAAGTAATGAACGAGCAGCACACCAACATCAACTATAAATTATTCAGGGGACAGCTACTCAGCGTGAGACTTGGTCCAAGATATTTGCTTCCCCTTTGCCTTTCATATGGCCTCTTCTGGGCTATTTTTAGTGATTCTTAGTATCTTTCATTTAAGGACAAAGAAATGGAATTGTTGAACTTCTCATTTGGTCAGTAGTTAAAACTTGGGTCGATTTGAGAGACTGGACAATATCGGCTCAGTGAATTCAGTATTCTTTGTGGATTTTATGTAACTCAGCATCACTCACATGGAACTGAGTGCACGATTAGGAGAGAATGTGTGGTGCATAACGGCACATCCAGCGCTTCGCTTCATACTCAGCATTGACTCTGTTGCTTTAAATAAAATGGAGAATTTCAGTTTATTTGTTCAATAATAACTAATAATAATAATAGCAGAGTTAGGGGCTTTATTTTCCTTCGTGTGCGCGGGGAAGAGTAAAGTGCTTTGTCACTAGGACACGTAGAGTTCAGGAGTACGTGCAAGTCAGCCGGGGTTTTGTTCCTACTCAATTGGAACAGGTCTTGTTCCTGTCAATTAAGACGATTTATCAAGATTTACTTTCGGGAGTATTCTTTTTTTTTTTTCCCCACAGAGCATGATTTCTAAAACTGTTGACCTATTTGCTAAGATTATACTTCCAAGGACGGATATATAAAAACAGTAAAAAACAAATCGGTGACAGTTATGAATATCCACGTATATCTCAATTTACACCAGAAGCAAGATTGATACTCTTAGTAAAACAACTCACCAATAGATCCTTTAAAACAGTTGTGTGACATCTGTCGCTGCAGTGAAATAGGGATGGCTGGCTTCTTTATCTTCTTGTTAATTATGGAAACTTGCATTTTTAAGGACAGGTTCTAGAATGTCTCTAGTTCACATTACAAGTGAAATAAAAGACCCCGTAGAACTCTGTTTTATTGGCAGAAATGGAGATCGGGCCAAAAAGGATTTTACTAATAAGCAAGAAGAGCATATGGAGTCTTGCTGACATAACCTCATACACATTCAAAATCATTTCCATTATTTGACTTCCTGAGTTCAGATATCTTATTCTGGAAGGATGGCTCCATGAGCCCTGCAGTCAGTGGGCATGTCTGAGATACTCAAACTGAAGTAGACCAGACTCTTCAGCTTGAGTAGGAGTTTTGCAGTGAAGATAAAATGAATTGGATCAACTCAGTGATCTGTTTTCAGTTTTTACAGCGCGTGTGACAGTGTGTGAGTGTGGGTGAGTGTATGTGTGTTTGTGTCTATGTGAGAACAGTTTTTAAACCTGACACTTAAATATAGTGAAGACTTGTTGCAATGTTCAGACTTCACCCCCTCAGTTGAAACCTTGAATTTTTTTGGTAAGATCTATTACATTTTTCATTAGTCTGCCTTTTTCACCACACATAGATATACTTAGAAAAGCTGAAACCTAGGGTCTTAGGGATTTCTTCAATCATATATATGGGGATTACTTTTTTTTTTCATATCACTGTTTCCAAAGCAGGTGTTTTTTTTTTGTTGTTTTTTAATTTTATTTTATTATGTTATATTAGTCACCATACAATACATCATTAGTTTTTGGTGTAGGGATCCACGATTCATTGTTTTCGTATAACATAAAAAAAAAGTTTCTTAAAGCAGGGAATATGGCCATTTGCGGCCTCCAAGGGCAATTTTATGTGCTGTCCTTGTTCTGCATGCACAGGGGGAGGGGAGGGTCAAGTTGGGTCTGCACAGTCTAGGAGTCCTTCCATAACAATGAAGCTTTTTATAGCTGGGTTTGGCCATATTTGTTTCAAAGGATATTATGTTCTCATAGACTTTTCTAGATCTCATCTCTTAAAGGTGGGCGATTGGAATTCTCTTTTATTTTTCTTTCCATTCTTTTTCCACAAACACACTTGACTGATGGAATACTAACAAGTCAATTAAGCATATTGATTGGACTTAGTTCTCTATGTTTGCCTTGTTCCAGGTCCTAGCATTGTCAGCCAGTGCTCATGGAAGGAATTCAGGAACGAAGTAACATGCAGATTTTAGAATGGCGAAAAGTCGGTCTTTAGACTGCTACTTAATAGTATTACCTTAAGTACGATTCACATTACTCTGATTTATATTCACAATCAAGATGACTAATAAGTTCATTTTAGGTATATTTAAACATTGGATAGCAAACAGAAATCCAATTAGGCATTTAGGCAACATATTTGACACTCCCAATTAGCTAGCTCTCTCCATGGTTCTCTGAATTTGCTCCTGAAATACTTTCTTGTCTCTAGAACGGAAAATGACTAAAAATTTCAGAGGTATATGCTATTTCCCTTTTAACCTTGGGACAAAGCCCATGCTTATGTTCTGTTTAAGCAAAGTGGGTAACAGAGGGACATGCCTGGTGCCTGTATATTTAGATTGATGTTTTAGGTAGAAGGGAGAAAGAGTGAAATGGGCCAGGGGGCTGGGGTCAGGCCACACCACGTGGGGTGACCTTGGGCAAACGTTCTTCTTTCTCTGAGATGAGATTTTTGCCTTGAAGGCAAAAGTGCCTGCGGCCTGTGGATGTCCTCATGACCCATGACCCGGTCTGTGTGCCCCAGTTCTTTCTTGTGTGTGAAATGAAAGTATTGAACTCGATCTGCGGCTCAGTTAATGCCTGTCAAAGGATCTGCTGTACCACGGAGGAGCCAGGGCTGCCCCAAGGCTGGGGCTGCGGTCAGGACTGCCCATAGCTGTTTTCTTCTAATTTTAGTCAGCAAGAAATGGTTCTGTAACAGATTAAAATAAAACACTTCCTTTGCTCCAGAGGAAAGTAAAGAGAGCGAAGCACATGACTCATGAAGAATGTGTCTTCCTCCCAAAGGCTTCGTCTTGAAATAGGGTTCTGATCTACGGTTTTTTTAAAGTCCAGATACGTGAGTAACAGAGAAAGGTAAAGATATTCTACCAAGCTAGTCTTAAGTTAATAACAAAGGCTCTGAGAAACAGGCTTAAAAGTACCAGACAGACGGTACAGACCTCTCCTTAAAATAGTGTGAATTTAATAGTTGGATTTGTCTGAGAATGGCTCAGACCAGCAGAGGACAAGGGGGACACTCTTCTTCGGCCACCCCGGGCCACCAGACTCAGCCTCGGCTGGAGCACTAAGTACTTAGGCATGTCTTAAATCAGAGGAGAGCTGGAGTCACGACACTGCCCAGAAATAGAAACATTCTAGAGGTTTCTTCATACATCATGAAGTGAAATGTCTGGTCCACTTGGATGATGGGAGGCATGGAATAAGCAATAATTTCCTGCAGGGTTCCCACCACTGCCTCTGTTTTTTGTTTTTTTTTTTATCATCCTCCATTACTGCTCCGCATAAAACCTAGACAAGGAAATAATGTGGAAGACCATTTATGGGGCAGTGGTGAGGAGGGAATTAATTGGGCCCCTTGACATTTTTTGCTACAGTCCTACCCATGGGGCCATCCATGATCCTGGGATTTAATGATACAGGCTCATCTGTGCTGAGAGGAAGGGTCTGAGGTTGTACCAGGCACTGTCTCAGGAGCCTGAAACAATACCAGGGGACCCCAGACCATATTGTGGGTGTGGACCCAGGGGACTCTGCCTAGCCAGTGCATGCACACATGCAGGAAATCAACAAATACTTAATGAGCATGGGCTTTGTGCTACTGATTCTTGAGCGAGCTGATGCTCCCCCTCTACCCCCGCAGAAGGTTTCCACACTGCCTGGGACCCCTGAATACTTTGACCTTCCTTTTGGCAGGCACAGTGGGGGCAGGGGCCTGGTTACTCTTCTGTAGAAGCTTCCCCAGTCACTAATACTGCTCTGAGGCTGTGCCTTGGGTCCCTGAAGTCTCCCTGGACCCTGGGTGCCTGGACTCAGGCTGCTCATCATGTTTGGGAGGCCCTCTTGTCCAGAACCCTCATGTGATGCAAATGATGTACCGACATAATTTTTATAAGAGGAGATCATAGGAAGGAACATCTGTGTCCCATCACTTGGAAATTCTCTCATTTTGTGGAGTGAAAATTTATTTTCCAGAGTAAATGGTGGGAGGCGGGGGGAGAATATTTAATGGTTTGCAATTTAAACTGTAAAACAGCACATTTCTTCATTTTTAAATGTGTTTACAGCAGAAATTCTTTCAGGTGCTGGTGTGCAGGATGGTCATGTTTATTTGCCTGACTTTCCCTGAGCTGGTAAAACCGGATGGCAGGCCATGGTTACCCTGCTGGGTCCTGCTTCAGTGGGTGCCTTTTTAAATCTCTCTCAGCATTGGTGAGTGAAATAAGTCAATCAGAGAAAGACGTGTATCATATGACCTCGCTGATATGAGGAATTTTTAACCTCAGGAAACAAACTGAGGGTTGCTGGAGTGGTGGGGGGTGGGAGGGATGGGGTGGCTGGGTGATAGGCATTGGGGAGGGTGTGTGCTACGGTGAGCGCTGTGAATTGTGCAAGACTGTTGAATCACAGATCTGTACTTCTGAAACAAATAATGCAATATATGTTAAGAAAAAAAAAAGATAGCAGGAGGGGAAGGATGAAGGGGAGTAAGTTGGAGGGGGAGACGAACCATGAGAGACGATGGACTCTGAAAAACAAACTGAGGGTTCTAGAGGGGAGGGGGGTGGGGGGGTGGGTTAGCCTGGTGATGGGTATTAAAGAGGGCACGTTCTGCGTGGAGCACTGGGTGTTATGCACAAACAATGAATCATGGAACACTGCATCAAAAACTAATGATGTAATGTATGGTGATTAACATAACAATAAAAAATCTCTCTCAGCATTGGAAAATGCAACTGTATGGGGAAAACAGGAATCAGACTCCATAGCTCAGATGTCGCCACCATTGGAAATGTCGGAACGTCTTCTTGCTTGTAGTAATGATGGGGGGCTCTTGCTGGCATTAGTACCCAGGGGTTGGGCATACTCACCAGCTCCCCCGGATGCCCAGGACTGCTCTGGACAGCGGATGACTGCTTCCCTTCCAAACCAGTAGGGCTTTGGCTTGAGAAAATGGATTTGCTGAGGGATTCCATGCAGAAGATGACTAACCTTGCTCTAAGTAGCTTTAGAAGCAGAGCTGAGGCCAAGGAGTCTGCAGTAGTTAGGGAGGAATTACAGGGAGGGATGGGTATATAACAAAAACAACTTTAGCCATTTGTGGATTGAGCTGCTTTTCAAGGAATTGGTGAGTTCTCTGTCATTGGAAGCACTGAAAGAAAGAACGAGGGGGCTGTTTTGTAGGGATATTCCAGAGGGGACTTCCACAAGGGGTGGGAAATTGGGCCGGGTGACCTCTGGGGGATTCTTTCATCTTGAAAGTGGTGTCATTTCATGCAATTTTAATGAATCTGTGACCCAGTTCCATTTTGGGGGTAAATCTTGAGCATTGGGAGAGAAGAGGGAGAAGTCCACATAAGAGCAATTAAATGAGTGAAATGTTTTAATAAAGTAGCTCAAAATTATTAAAACATTCAACTTGAGTGCTGTTTCAAATTTTGGGGAATTTTAAATCTGATTTTCTACTACAACTTTTCTACGACAGCATGGTATTTTATTGATGTTAAATGGTTTGCAAAAGTGTTGGTTTTGGTCACATTTGATACTTAGGGATTGGGCCCTGTGAAGGATCTTGACTTACCTTGGGTACTTTCAGGTTTCTTGAAGTAACTGAGAGCTCACGGAGGTCAGCCCTGGGGTGAGAAGACTCTTCTGATTCCCATCTGCTTAAGCAGTTCACCCATCTCATACTTCTGATCTAGCTGGAACTTTGGGAAGAAAACTTCCATGTTTCTGCAGGATGCGAAATGTAGATAAAAGCCATAGACTCTGAACACTAAAAAGGTCACATACTCAATTCTTAGCAGTCAGTTGGCAGCACGCTCACTCTCTTCTGGGACTGTCCCCCCACCCTGTGGGGTGCCCTAGGGAGACAGGAGGTTGCAGTTCCCATCGGCAGAGACCCTCATTCTGAGCCAGGCCACCTGGAGCACAATGTGCCCGAGAGAAGTCCCCAGGCCTCTCCTCCCTGATGCAGGGGGCCGTGTCCAAGTCCCTGCCTGACATAAAATAGCACCCAGCCCTGGGACTCGGCACGTGGCTCCTTGCTGATGCTAACCCGTGCCTCTAGGACTCAGGGCCCCACTCCTCCTACAGGCTCAGGATCACCCCCTTACTCGGCGAAATACTTTTGCCGTGCTTCCTAAATATGTGTGTTTGGGGACGCCTGTCCGATTCTAAATGGCAAGCCCGTGTTCAGCGGGTCACTCCTGTGTTGTAAGCTCTGGGCAAGGACCTGCTGCGGTGTACCAAACCTACACCGGGCTCACGCCTTCAGTATGTGACAGTGTTTAGCACTACTTTGTAAACGAAGACATCATCCCATGGCAGGATGCTCCTGAATTCTGAGTCACTCCTCTTGGTGACAGTCATCAGGAAATGATCCTGTCATACCCGGCAGATGTCACCCCTTCTGACTGATTAGTCTTGCCTTGGAGCAAGCTCCTCCTCCGGCCTGGAGTGGCTGTCCGGGGATACACGGGTGTCCCTGCATGCTGCCTACTGGACAGTCCCATGTAACCCTGAAAGCCTGGGTTCATCTACTGAACAGAACAGAATGTCTGCAGGGGTCCCTCCCCTCTCCAGGCACTAGGGTGCCCTCAAGCATGCCAAGGATGCATCAACATAAATAGAATCTGAGAGGGAAGAAATCAGTTGCTCACCTGCCATTCCTCAGCCCTGACTGTGCCTGGAGTAGCAGTCCCGCCCCCAGTCCTGGAAGGGGCAGGCTAGCCCCCTGGGCAGGAGGGTCCCTGGGAAGAAAGCCAGGGACTTGAGTGTGGTTTGCATGGCGAGTGTTGTGGGCATGAAGGCTCAAGTCTTGAAAGCCTCTTCCTCTAGCCAGCATCCCACAAAGGAAGGTCTCTGTGTCTAGAACACTCCTCTAAGCCACTCCTGTCCTATCCAGCCTGGGGGTGAGGACTCGGCTCTGCGCGGCCCCCCCGCCACCTTGGAACCCACCCAGAGCCAACAAGAACATCTCTCCCCCATAGCTCGCTAGTTGGACCCTTTGAAGGTCTCCTCTAGTTGGCTGGCTCTTCCCAGTGAGTGGCCTCCTGGTGCCTGGGAAGGTCCTTCACTCAGAAAAAGGACAGGGAAGGTTAGGGTTTGCAGCAAATATTTGCTATTCCAAAGGATGCTCCCCAGGGGACTGTTACTGATTAACATCCCTCCTGGAGGCGGTGGTGTTTCTGCAAAAGCAAAGACAGAGAGACAGGCTTCCCGTAGTCCCCAGCTGCTTCTCCAACCCGGAAGATGACTGGGTGCATCGTGAGAGCTTCCGCCTCTCAACCCCAGGTGTTGCTCTGGAAGGATCCAGAGCCTCGTGGGATGGACTTGCTCCAGGGGCTGAGTACCTCGTGTGAAGGAAGGCGATGGTCGATCCCACAGAGGCTCCCTGGATCCCCAATCTAGGGCTGGGCACCCCATTGGGGGCGGGGACAGAGACGATGAAGACCCACCCCGCCGATCTCAGTCCTAAGGTTTTCTGCAATGTGAATCATACTTGGTAAAGTTCCCAAAAACAAAATTCAAATCTTCCTCTGATTTACTCAGTAGTTGTCTTCACAGGAAATTCATTGGGAATGAAAACCTTGTGGGAAATTGGTGTTTTCATATGAAATCAAACATCTGCGGGACTGTGAGGCTCTGGGCTCAGATGATTTTTGGACAGATTCTTCACCCGTATGGACTCGTTGTGGAACATCTGTCACGTGGGACCTGGGTCACTTCATTGCGAGGGACGGTCCTATGCCTTGCAGTATGTCTGGCATCGCTGACACTCATGGTTTATGCCAATCGCATGTCCTCAAATCTTTGTGAAAACCAAAGTGCCCCAACATGTTTCCGGAGTGTTCCTTTGGAGCAGCACCTGCTCAGTTGAGAAGTGCTACCCAATGAGGTCAAGGTGAGGGGTGCAGGTGGGCTGCTCAGCCTTGGCCTTCCCATCTGCATTGTTCTGCAGCCGATGGAGGAGGGGCTCCTTCCTGCAGACTGGGGTGGGGGTTCAGCTTTGCCAGATGTCTGAGAGGAACCAGCGGGCCCAATGCTGTGGGGCGTGGTGTTCATGGAGGGCTTCAGAGCTCCACAGAAGTCACTGTGTTGCACTTGACTTTCTGTGAGGCTCTTACAACGCCTGCCAGGATTTCAGAATGGATCTTTCCAAGGGAAGGCAGCAGAATGTATTGGAAAGAGCGTGAGGATCTCTGTCAGCCACCCCGGGGCCCCCCACTGTATTCGCTGGGGAATGCAGCTCAGCCTGCCCGCGCTTGCTTTCCCCGCTTCATAGAATGGCCCGAACGGGGCCTGTGGCCTATGAATATCTCAGCAGCACCCAGAACCAGCAAGGAGCTGGACGACAGCAAGCCCTGGCCCCCAGGAAGTGTGGCGCAGACGTTCTGTGCCTCTGGCAAGGACATGAGTCCTGCGCTGCCCCCAGCAGGTCACACTCAGTCCCTACCGCTGTCGCTTGGGCTTCTTCCCGGCAGTGCCCCCTGGACCAGCTCCCCAGCCTCACTCTGCTTTGGTTTTCCCATCTATAAAATGGGCTCCCACGGCCTAACTGTGAGCACTGCATACCTGTAGTGCTCGGGGTAGGGCAGGCAAAGAGCTTGAGGCCTGGCCGGACACGCTAATGAATGGTCGTCATCGTGTGACACTGGGGCCAGAAGGAATGTCAGAGGTAACGCGGCCCCCAGATTTGGACTTTACGGAGGAGGACATGCGAGAGAGAGACCGCTGTGAGTTTGCTCTGTGTGCATCGGATCAAGGGCAGAGCTTGGGTAGGTGGGTGGCACGACGTGGAAAAGAAAAGGCTTCCCAACCTCTGCCTCCACCCGGTGCCTAGGAGACCAGCGCCCCCCGCCTGTGCCCCGGGCACCTCTCTCCTGTGCCGGGAAGGCAGGCAGATGCTGGGCGCCCACGCTGCTTAGACCTGAGAGTAACAACATGTCTGTGACAAGCACTCAGCCCAGTGCCTGGCATGGCGAAGGGGGGCTGATGTCAGCAGGACTCACCGCCCCGCCGGAGGCAGGGGGTGGACCGACAGACAGCCTGACCAGGATTCCGAGGGCTACATGCAAGGGTCTGGGTGGGAGCGGTGGTGGGAAGGAATGGTTGCCTGTTACCAAAAGATCTCGAGGGAGCTCACCTAGCAGAGATGCAGCCTCACAACCTCACGGGCAGTCGTCCTAGGGCGGCTGGAGGGTCCCCATCCAACCACGTGGCTGCCGGTCCAGCCTTCAGTGCCCAGGACACAGTGGGGCAGTGCTGGACCCTGCGCTGGGGGAGGAAAGAGCCTTTAGGTTAGTCGGGAGCTCGGCTGCCTGAAAGCAGGACACTTCTAGGGTGCTCACCACGCATCCGGCCCCTCTCCACCCCTACTGCACACGCACGCACACACACACGTGCACCCACGCACACCCACACCACGTATGCGTGCACACACCTGTTCTTGACTGTAATCTGTCTGGGTTATATCCTTTCCCTCTTTTCCTTTTATGCTGCTGGTCATTACTTATTTATTTCTGGTTTTAACTTAAAACATTTATTTTTAAGCGATTTCAAACTTCAAGTAAAATCGCAAGAATAGCTACAAAGAACTTCTATAACCCTTTACCCAGAACCACTAATTTTTTTTTAAGATTTTATTTATTTATTTGACAGAGAGAGACACAGCGAGAGAGGGAACACAAGCAGGGGGCGTGGGGGAGGGAGAAGCAGGCTTCCCGCTGAGCAGGGAGCCCGATGAGGGGCTCGATCCCAGGACCCTGGGACCATGACCTGAGCCGAAGGCAGACGCTTAACGACTGAGCCACCCAGGTGCCCCTGAATCACTAATTTTTAAACCTCTTCCACATGTTTGACAATTCTCTTCTCTCTGTGCGTCTGTGTCTCCATGTGCCCCCCACCCCTTGTCTTATTCTGAATCTTTTGAAATGATTAGGTATCCTGGAGAATAAGAATATTCTCTTATGTAAATGGTAACAAATGATCAAATCCAAACAATTTAATGTCGTTACAATACCTGAAGCTACAATCATACTCTAACGTTGCCAATTGCCCCACGAATGTTCTTTGTGGTATTTTTATTTGCAATTTAGGAGTCTGTCCAAGCTGTCTGTTGCATATGGCGCCACGTCACCTTGGTCTCCTTGGATCTGGGATGGTTCTTCAGTTCTTCCTGTGCCTGTCATTATATTGACATTTTGAAAGGCTTGGGTTGGCTATCTTATAGCTTCTCAATTTGGGTTGGTCTTGTGTATCCCCTTGATTAGCCTCTGATTATACATTTTTGGTGGCAGGAATAGAAAAAAAAAATGTTGGGTCCTTCTCAGGATATCACATCCAGAGGCACCTGATGTCTGTTTGTCCCTAGTTGGTGATGTTCATTTTAATAACTTGGTTAAGGGGATGTCCATTTCTCCAGGAATACCTTCCATGTCTCCTGCAATAAGTTCTTTGTGAAGAAATACTTGGAAAAAATTTAAATATCCTGTTTTTCATCAAACTCCTCATCCCCCACCCCGAGATGTATATCCATTGAACACTCTTGCCTCAATCAGTTTTTAGGATGATGGCCTAAATCCATATTCCTTTCATATTTATCAACATTCTTAGTATAGATTCATGAACTCAATCTTATTTAGTACATGTTAATCCATTACTGATCATATTATAAATGTATGTGTATGCACGTTTGCATTTGTTTAGGTGTTCAAGTTGTCCCAGGTAAACCTAGACACTAGGAATGTACTAGAAACCATAAGTTTATACCCCCAGTTATAATTTTTTGAAGATTTTATTTATTTTATTTAGAGAGAGCAGAAGCAGGATAGGGGCAGAGGGAGAGGGAGAGGGAGAATCTCAAGCAGACTCCATGCTGAGCGCGGAGCCTGACCCGGGGCTTGATTCCAGGACCCTGAGATCATGACCTGAGCTGAAATCAAGAGTCAGACACTTGACTGACTGAGCCACCCAGTCACATTTGATATCTCCAATTCATACCCTACCCCATAGGATTCTTTCTTGCTTCCTCATTCCATATGTGCGTCTCTCTTCTTGCTTAACCTATAGATAATGTCATGTTTGCTATACCCACTCCACTTTGGAAAAACATGCCTGAAAAGAAGTCTTCAAGGTTTCTTTGTGGTCTTTTATTCTTAAAACTGGGGGTATATTGTCCAAGTACTGGGTTCAAAAGTTCCTTGGGTTAATCCTTTTTCTCTCCCGCAGTGTGGTCACGTTATCTATTTGAAATACATTTGAGCTCCTTTGTTTTTCTTTTCATTTGCTTTGAGGGCTTTCCTCATCTTGTTCATTTAATTTTGTTTTTGAATATAGAGAACATTAACATTATTCTAATAGTCTCTGTGCCCCGCCCCCATCCCTTGCAGGGATATACACATATACTTTCTTCTTTCTTTCCTTTTTTTTTAAAGATTTTTTAAGATATTTATTTACTTTTACAAGGGGGGCGGGCAGAGGGAGAGGAGAAGCGGGCTCCCCGCTGAGCAGGGAGGCTGACGCAGGACTCGATCCCAGGACCCTGGGATCATGACCTGAGCTGAAGGCCGATGTTTAACCAACTGAGCCACCCAAGCGCCCCTGCTTTCTTATTTCTTTTTCTTTCTTACAAACTCAATTTGTAGACATCCTCCTTATTACTACTACTTTTTACAACTTCATAGTATTCCATTGTTTATTCAACCAATTGCCTATGTTTGGCCATTTAAGTAATTTCCAGTATTTTGTGATTACAAA